CAGGGAGTCTGCTTCTCCCTCTCATGCTCTCTGTCTCTCATTCTCTCTCTCTCAAATAAATAAATAAAATCTTTAAAAAAAAAAAGAATGAATAAGGGTGAGGAACCACGTTCTCTAAGGGTGATATTACCCTTCTGTCAGAATAGGTAGTCCTAGAATACAGTATCATAATAATGAATTTCCCTTTATTCAGCAGATCTTGAATATTAAAAAGACAGTCTAAGTCTTGTTCCTCTGATCAGAAAAGATAATACCAACTTATGGAAAAAATGTCTACAAGGTGTGATTTTATAGTGACAAAGCCAGCTCAGTTCTGTGGTTTATAGATTCCAGTTCATTGATTACTATTTACATGTGCTTCAGGCATCACAAATAGACCATGGATATGGGTCATCCTTACTTCGCAAAGATGGCACTACTTACCCAATGTCAGTAAGTCATGAGCTTTCAACTGTTTGTGTCCAGTGTTGGTGATGGGTTATGATAAATTATCTGTACTTGTACCTTGGTTACTTTTTTTGACTAGTGACAGATGGCTGGAGTTAGGGGTGTAGACTGTGTCCGAGGCACAAAATTTTTCTCTGTGTGAGTCTAACTGGACCACAAAGGGATCTACAATCTTGGCCTAATTAGCTCCATATGTTAACCAACTGAGCTAATGAGCCCAGAAAAAGCCGCAATTTAATCTCCATAAGAGTCTAAACACATATGTGTAGACATATTCATCCATGACTAAAAGAATGATAATTTTGCCATTTAGAAAAACCTAATTAAAATCACTAGTCATGTAAATTTTATATCACTTCTGTCATAATAATGCTTGTTGTTGACCTACTTGTCTTACTAGCAGATGGGTTCGTGTTCTGCATCACGATATTAGTAAACATAAGGCCATTGCTTTTCTCATGTTTCACGTCTATACATCCCAATCGCTCCTTCCAATAGGAAGGAAGGACTGGAAAATACCATGGAGCTGCCATACCATATGTACCTGTAATGAAAATGTATTAGGAAGAGTAAATATTAGTTGACTGTTAACATGAAACATCAGAAACTAAACAACAGAATGTTATATATGGTTCAGAAAGTATTTTCATTTTTTTTGATCTATATCAAACTAAAGCGTAGTCTCAGTTTCCAAAGTAAAGAAAAAAAGATAAGCCCTCTTTTATTCTTTTTAAAAAACAGCTTCATTAAGGTATAATTATATGGCATAAAATTTACTCATCACAGTAAGTGTAGGGGTAGATGATTTTTAGTAAATATAAAGTTGTGCAACCATCACCACCATCCATGCATTAGAACCACCATCCATACATTATAGCTTCAAAAATTTTTCTCATGACCATTTACAGGTAACTCCTGCTTCTACCCCAAGTTCTAGACAATCACTGATTTGCTTTCTATCTTTACATATTTGTCTTTTATAGGAATTTTATATAAATGGAACAATACTCTTTTATTCATTTAGAACATCAGGAAAATGTACAAATATCAATAAGGCTGAATGGAAAAGCTCCCAAGCATGTTAAAAGTGATGACTACTTGAGACCTAGGATGGGGGACCCAACTACTGTTTTCCATTAGAATTTGGTAAATTTTCCTTAGAATTAAGAGATCTGGTTTTTGCTTTATCACATGTCAAAAGCCCATTTGAAAAGACTGGATTCCATGCTTCTTAATCCACTCCATCCTTTAAAGGAACATCAGATTATCAATGACAGCCAAACTATGGAGAGAGCCTAATTGTCCATCGACCGAAGAATGGATAAAGAAGATGTGGTACACATACACAATGGAATATTACTCAGCCATCATAAAGAATGAAATCTTGCCATATGCAATGATGTGGATACAGCTACAGTATATTATACTAAGTGAAATAAGTCAGAGAAAGACAAAGACCATATGATATCACTCACATGTGGAATTTAAAGATTTTTTTTTGACAGAGAGAGACACAGCGAGAGCAGGAACACAAGCAGGGAGAGTGGGAGAGGGAGAAGCAGGCTTCCCGCTGAGCAGGGAGCCCCATGCGGGGCTTGATCCCAGGACCCTGGGATGATGACCTGAGCCGAAGGCAGACGCTTAATGACTGAGCCACCCAGGCGCCCCTCACATGTGGAATTTAAGAAACAAAACAGATGAACATATGGGAAGGGGGTAAAAAAAAAAGGAGAGAGGGAAGCAAACCATAAGAGACTCCTAACAGTAGAGAACGAACTGAGGGTTGATAGAGGGTGGTGGGTGGGGGATGGACTAGACGGACAATGGGTATTAAGGAGGGCACTTGGGATGAGCACTGGGTGTTGTATGTAAGTGATGAATCACTGAATTCTACTCCTGAAACCAATATTGCAGTGTATGTTAACCAACTAAAATTTAAATAAAAATAATAAAATAAAATAAAATAAAGGAACATTAGAGAAAGAATTCACCAGTGCATTGTCTCATCCTGGAAAATCATGGTTAGTTCTGGGATGGCAAATCAAATATTAGAAAATATATATTAGCTGATTTATAGTTATGAAAACTATAGAAAAATATATCTGTTGGAAGTATGTTCATACCTGGAAACACATTCCTGACATACCAAGCAATAAGGAAATAAATTAAAGAATCAGCTAGGATTAGACAGCACAGCCAGCCAAATGAGGTGGTGTCATCCTGAACTGGGGAACTGTACATATTTTCCCACTGAAGACCTAAAAAGTGAACACATATATTTATTCTTCTGTGAGACATACTGCAGTTGTGAATGCCAAAATCCAGTTTTAAAGGAAGTGAGCCTACCAATGCCTTGCTCCTCATATCTTGCAATGTACTGACTTGCATAACTGAATGCTGTTGGGGACAGCAGACTCTGTGAAGAAAATAAACAGCAATGATAGTTCTTATAGATTTTGTACAAGAGGGATCTAAACATACTTAAAACTTTGGACACTTAATATAGGTAAAATTGACACTAACTCCCTAAGCGTATTTAAAAATACAGAGGTCCCTTAGCAAGCCCGCTACCACTCTGAAGGAAGAGAAGAGGGAATAGCAGAAAACAAAAGCAGAAAAATTACAACTTGGAAAATATTTGTCAAAAATCCAAAATATATATCTACACTTGGTAAATGTTGCTTAGCAACTTATAAAATAGGAAATTACAGGGTAATGCAATGTTAAGACTAAAATCAAATAAATGATTAGGAGCCAGAGGATGTTTTTACTTCATAAATTGATTACAGGTAACAGCAGTACTATGAGTGAAAATATACTAAAATATGAATTGATTGAATACTTATAATGCAACGCATTAGAAATTTAATGTCCTTTTAACCCAAAGCAGTCAATGTTAAATGAAAGTTATTTAACACTATTTCCATAAACACCAAAGTTTCAATATGACTCTCAGTGAGATTTATTTTTCTGCTTTCCAAATTTCAAAGTATTTTTAATGATTTCATTAAATTTCTTAAATTAATTCAATACTTCTGAATTGACACAGGCAGAAAAGACTATGTGCTGTTTGTCTTTTGTCTTTTGTCTTTATGCCTGTAAGTAATAGTGAATGTTACGAATGTTATGAAAATTATTCATATAGGATAATAACTCCAGTAATAAAGGTTTTAAGATATTTAAGGAATTGGACTGTTTGTCTTTTGTCTTTTGTCTTTATGCCTGTAAGTAATAGTGAATGTTACGAATGTTATGAAAATTATTCATATAGGATAATAACTCCAGTAATAAAGGTTTTAAGATATTTAAGGAATTGGACCAGAGAAGAAGTCAGGATTTTTGATGATCTTTAAAATGTAACACATTACATTTTAACTATTCTTTCTTCAGAAATTATTTCTTACCAGAAGTGCTGTTAAGAAAACTCTCTTTTTCATTGTCTTATGCTTGTACAGTATACAACAATGTAGAAAAACTATCATTAGGACAGTTAAGCTTATTTTGCAATCACAGAACTTTTCAATTAGATAAGTGAACTTCCAGTTTAAGAGTCTAAAAACATAAGAATCAATTCTTATCACACCCTGGCCATTCAGTTGTGACAGTTGACTCACCATGAATACTTTTATTACATAGCTCAACTCATCCTCAACTGTAATCAGAACAATAAATGGAAAAAAGGCAATGATGTAGATGAGGCATCCAATCAGGGCTGCAATGTTGGTGTTATTAAAGAAGACACTGATGAGATAGCTCATGGCAATAACTGAGAAGCTATAGTCCGAAAAATACAGGAACAAAATGAACCCATTTGTTTTAGGGAGAATATTGCCAAACTTGAGTATAATGATGAGGATGACGATGGTCACCAGTAAAAATCCAACACTCTCTATAAGCCAGGCAAAAAAGTGGCTGCAGGAATTCACACCCATCATCTTCATGTACTGCAAAAAGGAAAAAGCGTTAGCCACTTTTTGAGCCAATATTCTCTCAAATAGCAATTATTTCTGCACCATGACAAAATGCTCATGAGACTCTTCATATATATGGAACTAGGCATCTTAATGATTTTCATAAGTCAAGGATTTGTCCATGCTTGCTATGTAAAATTAATATGACCATTTATATCGGCCCATTTTAAATTATATGCTTTCAGAATGCCCCAGTATAATGGATGATTTGGATGGTGAGGTTCTTTTTTTTCCAATTTCGTTTCATAACTGGTATCTAACTAATGTATCCAGATTAAATTAGTTTAGAATAGATCATCAAAATTTATGGTGTCTCCTGCAGAATTTTACGACATGAATTTGACATTTGTACAGTCATGAATATTTCAAGCTCATAGAAAAACATGGTTTATTTCAAATTCAGTGTAGGGACTGAGATAATAAAGCTCCATTAATGGACAACACAATCAGTACTCTTGTTCCTGAGAGAAAGAGAATAAACCTGACTCCTAAGAATTAAAACATGGAAACTTTGAAGGGAGACTTTCTGCCTTTTGGCACAGCTTCCCCATCCTTAAGATCATTGGGAGTTTAGGGCAAGTTTGTCATCTTTGTTTTCCAAAAAGACATTCATGCACCCAAAATGAACTCATGTATCTGAGATCATCTATACCTCTCTCTCAATTTATATTTTTTAATAACTCAGTGATATCCCTAGAGACCAAGGCATTCCACCAAGATAGAAAAACAGACCAGCATGATGTGTTTGACCATTAACTCAAAGGGATTCTGAAAGATCTAAATTCCCCTGGATCTTAGCTGTCTTGAATTTGGTGACATGTTGCACTTCGGGGGAACCTGGATATCCTGGTTTCTAGTTTTAACAATACATGATTAATGCTAAGCTTATGAATCTGACAGTCCATTTTAAAAAAGAACAAAAGAAAAGCTCCACTAACAGCTTTATAATCCAGTATTTTGGGTAAATTCAAGGATTTTCAATGTCCTCCTTCTTTAAAACTAACTTGTCTAGAAAAAAAAAAGGAACGTGCTGAATCTTTTGCTCTACACATAAAATAGTGAATTTTACTTTCTGCCTTTGCAACTTACCACAATTTGATAACTCTGCTACTCCTCTTGTTGCCATGGAAACAGCTACCTGACTGCCAACAGTCTAAGCTGTGGGCCTTAAGCTAATCACCACTGAGAAAAAGCCTGTGACTTTTCCTCTTAACTTTGTCCTCTTCCTCACCTTCCTCCTTCCTTACTGCTTCTCTCCTCCCAGGCCTTCTGCCCTTTGCGGTAAAGACTCAACTTACGTTTCCATAGGAATGGAAGTGGGGGTCAAAGTAAAAAAAACCAGCATGGAGCGAAGATGCACTATGGAAGCTTTCTTCCAGTTGCTATGCATCTATCATTGAAAACAAAATTACATTTCGGTATGAGAAAATATCTCACAGGTCTTATTTTCGAAATTTTCTCTCTACTCCCCAACCCATTTGAGAAAATTACTGTGTCATGTTTGATGACTGCATTTTAGAGACACTCGCCTATTCAATTATGACCATGATCACGTTAGCTCTTTTTATTGGCCTTTCCTATTTGTTTTGAGATTTAACTGAGTTTATAATTAACTGGGGAGTTATGGGACCCATATAACTACTCCAAAGCTGATATTCACCACCTAATTTCATGTGCCTTATACGAAAAATATCTTCTCTCCAATAGCAGTGTATGTCAGTAGGAGACAATGTCAGCATATTTCACAAGGTGGATATAAAATATCTAGGACACTATCAAGGACATGAAATAAAGCTGTCTTGGTGTGTGCAAACATGTTTTCCTTCCCGCAAAATTGATAGCTTCAAAACATATATATATATATATATATACATATATATAATATATATTATATATCTAGAAAATTCTCCATTCATAGCCTTATTAAAAGATAATCTGGCAAATCTGAAGACCAGACTAAAGGTGTTTATCATTGTAATTTTGAAATTTTCAAGACTCGAGATCAGATTCCTTTTTCCTGAGCGATGGTAAAGTTGGAGAATGATCACTGCTTCTTGCTGAAATGGACTGAGTTAGGTGCCTCCAAAAGTGTTCACTATTTAACATTCTAGCATGAAACTTCAGTGTTAAACTTCAGGATTTTATGCCATGAGAAGAACAGCTGTTATTCATAAAGAGAAAGAGCAATGAGAGCATGTAAGTCATCCATAAATTATCCAGATTCACGGCCAACTTCGTTATAATAAACAAGACCAAACTTGCTGATGGAAGATGGCCCACAGAGAATGTCCGGCTGTGCTTTCCTGGATGTCGTTAGATGCTCCTCAGAGTGACATATGTCAGGTGCCAGCTTTGCAATCAAAGAATCACCTGTCTCAAGCCTCTCAAACCTGCCTGAAGCAATTCATCAATATCTGATAACCTGTTGCTCAAGGAAAACCCCTCTACACAGTGGTCAGAGTTTACTCCAGTTTATGGCAGAAGATAAAGAGAAGAGATTCTGTAAGATTTGGGATAAATGTATTGCCACATTAGAGAGAATCTTATGCACAGGGGTTGACATTAATGCTTTCAGGAAAAGAAATCACAAATATTCATATATGTCAATCACTAATTTATAAGGAGTAATACCATTTTATACCTAAACTAAAAAATTTTTCTTAACACTAGATATTTATATTACTGCTTTTAAGTAAGATATAAAGGATGTTGTGATCACTACCTGAAATGTTCCAAATTCCCACTAGTATGATGGATAGTGTCTATCAAGGAGACATAAACATTGTCTAAAGTGAAACACCAAAGGACTAAAATCCCTTACATAATTCTTGGTAACATCTCTCCAGACCACAGATATTTTAGATTATCTATGAATTGAGAAAGAACACCTCCAAATTTTGTCCCAGCTGAATATAAGCATTGGAATCCCCATAAATGACTTACATTAGAAGCTAACTCATAAATCAAGAAAATAATGTCAAAAAGTATTTTTCTGTGTGTTGTAAATCAATTTTTTGTATAGCTTTAATATTTTAATTGTTAAAAACAAGGAACACAGAACAAAACCCAACCGAAAGTCATTTCAAAATAGTTTGTTTTTTTTTTTAACTACAGGCTTAATTTCATCGACAAACTTATTGGGCATTAATATTTGTGCTAATTCCTTTAACAAGTTAAAGGAATTAACTGGAGTCATACTATAACAAGGTCAAGGATTAATGGCTTCACTGAAATAGCTACTAACTTGGTTTTCTTGCCCAGATTTAAGAACAGTTACAGAAGGAAAAATGTAATTTTTTTAACCTTTTTTTAAAACTTTAATTGGAATGAGAAGGATGTAGAGAATTAAAAGCTTTAGAACTTAGTGAATATTAAGATGATGGTATTAAAAGTGATTTTGAGTCTCTGGGAACCTAACAGATTTTCCATCATCATCTTCAAAAGTCTTTAAGGGTCTATGCTACCAAAATAAGACTGTGAGAGGGAAAGCAGCTATACTGTGGAAAAGGATTGGTTGAAAGTCAAGACATTCGAGTTCCAGCCCTAGATCTACCACTAACTAGCTCTGCAGTTTTCAGCAAGTCACCTCTCAGTGGGCTTAGCTTTTTCACTTTTAAAAAGGAGGAGGGAAGATGAGAACCATGGGCAGTACAGGAAGGCTGAGCAGGAGGCATTGAGAATATTCCACTTATTCCAGTCCCAGTTCCATCAATTCATCTCACAAATAGACTGAACTCCTTTGAATTTAGGATGCTGCTGATTTTTTTTTTTAAAGATTTTATTTATTTATTTGACAGAGACAGAGATAGCGAGAGCAGGAACACAAGCAGCGGGAGTGGGAGAGGGAGAAGCAGGCTTCCCCTCGAGGAGGAAGCCCCATGTGGGACTCGATCCCAGAACCCTGGGATCATGACCTGAGCCGAAGGCAGACGCTTAACGACTGAGCCACCCAGGCGCCCAGGATGCTGCTGATTTTAAGACATGCCATTATTTGACATGGCAGCAAGAAAGAAAAATCACCACCAAATAAATGATGACACCTTATCAAATGCATCCCAATTTCAGAGGCTTTAAGAAGCAAGGAAAAAAATCTTGACCTTAGAACTGATAAAATATGGATGATTGAATGCCTTTCTTGTTGTGGCAATGAGAGAGCCACATTCTGGAAATGTATTGCTGAATTAAGTCTAGATAGTAAGACTTAGAAAGTTTAATGGATTGAGCCCAAGTGGAACTGGAAGACTCAAAGCCCGATTCTCTGATTACACGTTCGGTGATCTTGTACTATAGGACTTTGACCCCCAAGATCAGGTAGTTAAATTTTGAAAGTAGATGCATGCAAAATGAAGACACAAAGCTACCAAACAGAAATTGGATCATCATTAAAAGTATGTCTTTCATGTCTTCAATTAAGAAAGAACTCTTCATTATTCTTTGATATTTTTGTGGCATCCATAGATGCACTCAAAGAGCATCATCTTCAAACACAAAATAATACAGTGTGTGTATAACATATACACAATATAATACTTATATTTACTGTGTTTCTACTACAAATACTATTTTTAAGGTAGATATTTATTTTGAAGTGGAAAAGAACTCAATTTCTATCACAGTTTTCAACTTTAAAGTTTCCCTTTAATCTGTGAAGATTCACTTCTGAGTACCAGGAACCTGAAAGAGAAACATAAGGTAGGTGCTTGCAACCAAAATTCTGGTTTAGGGCATGGATTCAAGTTTCTAAATTGGACTTAAGAAAGCATTGCACAGAGTCCTGAATACAACAGAACTCAAACCAGTTGATGAGAGGTTTACCAAATTATAACTGAAATACAAAAAATGCAGCTGTGAGGATCAACCAGAATTCAAATAGAAAAGGTAAGAAGTATAGGTTCAAACCCTAGGACACCCCTGGAAGCCTGATGCTGAGCTCACAGAAACATGAAGCAGGAATTTGTACCTTGTGAGGAGAAAGAATCAATTGCCTGGAAGCATTGGCAAAGTCAGTCTGGAAAGCGCAAGTGGGCTAACAGGTTACTCTAACCTCATTATGTCAGGTTGTCAGCCAGGCCTTGCAATAATTATTGTGCCCCAGTTTTGAAGTGTTTCTGCTTTCTTTTTGCTCCATGAGTGAGTGTAAGAATGGACTCATTACAGGATGGGCAGATAACATAGTTCTTATTCCAATACAATCCCCAAATCACACAATGCTGTTTCATAAATTCTAAAAAGAAGTAAGATATTTGGGATTTGGAGATAATGATGAGGAACATGCTCCAGAAGAGATCATGCTTTACATCCCAGGTCCTGTCTTTCATCATTATATTATTCACCTAGTCAGTAGCATAACATAAAATTCTTAGTCGCTATAAATCATGAATCAGTGGAAGATAGAGGAGAAGATAATTGAAGAAGACAAGGTATGCTGGAAAGAGAATTTGCTTCATGAGAGCTGAAACAAGCCATCTGTCTGTCCATGACTACGTCTGCGTCTATGTCCATATATCTGTATCTATTTTCATTTGGACTCATTTAGTTACCATGCCAACAGTCTTCCTGCCTTACTAGTTATTATTTAAACTTCCTGCGTTAGATCCTAAGTCCTATAGGAACTTCTTGGACAAAATTACTGTCAGGATCATAAATTGTACTCAGATTTTATTCAGAATTATTTATATTTCATTTTCTAGAGGCACTTATAAAATGAATTCTATATAACTTTGTGAGAAAATAGAGTATTGTCATATCAGCTGCCTTTATGATTCATAAAATATTTTTCTTTTTAAATTCATGAGGAATGGGTCAGGCTTTCTGAGTTTGTATAGGCATGATGAAAATCATAGTAATTATTACACAAATAGATCTTACTCATAATAAGAGGAGATTCTTGACATACCTCATGAAGCCGGAGATCTTTCTCATAAACAAGCTTTTTTACAAATGCAGCTATAAATACAACCCAGGCAACCATGAGCACAATTGGAAGAGAATAAGAGACACTGGTTAGGAAGCTGTAAAAAAACAGAAACATAAAAACAAAAATTCAGGGACCCAAATGAGTATCATCTGTGCAGATTGTAATATATAAAGAACACATCCTCTCTTACAGTGAATTATACTCCTGTTTTGAAATTGAGAATAGTCATTAATATTGCTCCTTTATTTATGAAGTGTGAAGCTGACTTAACAGTATGCCCATGATTTTCTTGCTGTAATGTTGCAAAAGTGAAAAACAGCTCTGGATTGTTAGATAAAATTACCATATTGTTTAGAACGTGTTTGAGTATGTCCTGTCTAGGAAAATAATTATTACATAGATATAATTGCAAAGCTCAAAACCCTTCTGTCTAAACGAAATTCTTATCTAAAAGGCAGATATAAAATTAGATGATGATTGGTTTATCTAGCTAAAAGCTATATCTTCCCAAATTACTGTATTTATCCACTCTTTAGAAGCTCATAGTTATTATTAAACTAAATTTCCCAAAATGAAATAAAACTCAAAGCATTCAATTTAAAATGCAAACAAAGAACTTGGATTCCTCAAAATAATGCTCCAGGAGATCTTTCATACACAGGATAGCAATGTCTTTTCTGATAATGTGCTAAACTAGGCAGTCACTGAAAGGCTTCATCAGGCTCCAAATATATTTCCTGAGTGGTCTGCCTATGATACCAGAAAGTTCCAATGCAGTGTTTCTCAAAGTTAACCATGCATCACAATCACCTGAAGGGCTTACTAAAACACAGATTTCTGAGCCTCGCCCATAAGCTTCTGATTTAATATATCTGGGGTGGGATAAAGAATTTGCATTTTAAACAATTTCCCAGGTGATGTCCATGTTGTTGGTACAGGGATCATAGTTTGAGAATCATGGTTCTGACACTAGCTACCTTTCTATGGGGTAAGGCAAATGAGTAGTTTTCAATGAGAGGAACTCTAAATTGACCTGTTTTCCATAGTAGGCTCCACTGACATTTTCACTTGGAGAACAGTACCAAGGCCATTTCCTTTTTAATCTGTAAGGCTAAGGAATTACCTTGAAGTTCCTCAAAAAAAATGCAAATATTAATGCAACATGACATCACCATCATTCATTATAACTTTAGCATCAGAAGTGTATCACCATCAAAGATATGAGGGTTATTTGGGCTTTTTTCTTGGATGAGGAAAGAGTGAGGGTTGAGGTCATATCCAATTTTTTTTATTCCTGGGAAACTATCTGGCATGGGGTAGGCACTTAAACAATATTTGCTGAATGAATTTTCTTTTGGTTCAAGTCCAGCCCTAATGGTGTTTCTGGCCCCAGAATTAGGCAAAGGCCCTCATTAATTAATAACATATCCCCTGTAATGTTTCTTCCAAGTGATTGTGTATTTTAAGATTGGTTTGGTTTAATATAAGGAGAAAATGCTGGTCTCCTAGCTGAAGGACCAGTAAGGTACTAGCTATTCAACTTTGGACATGTTACTTAACCCTTTTGGATTTCAGTTTTTTTCATCAGGAAAATATGGTTAATGATACCTGCTCCTGCTTACCTTACTGAGGTTGTTGGGTAGAACAAAGGAAATAATATATGTGGGAGCACTTTGTATGCAATAAAGAATTTATATGTATATGGAAGATACTATGATCATATTCTCCACGAAGAAGGTAGAGTACAGTTTACTTTTCTTCTTAAAAAAGAAAATCCAGGCACCCACCGTCCTAGGTACCAAAATTTACAAGGGGAAAAAGATGAGCAGGAAAATAGATGAGAATTTTCTTTTAATTGAACCCACAGGTCATTGCTATTCATGCAAGCCACTGCAGTTCACACACAGTTCAGGCTGCAAGAAACTGACTGGCCTCCACAACACGCAGCTAACCTTGACAACCCACGGATGGAATCCTCATCCGTCTCCCTGTATCACTGCCACACAGAGGGTTACATGACCTCATTTCATCTAGAGCTCTTGAAGCAGCCAAAGGAGACAGATGCATTGATAGAAAGAAAAATGGAGAAAAAAAAAAGTCCAGAGCCATCTGAATTGTATATAAACTGCAGTAATTGGGCTGGATAACCAGTGCAATTTCTTTAAAGTAATATTCAGCCTCCAGCTTTTACGTAGGAGGATGAGCCTGACTATGGTCAGAGTGGAGGAGTCAGTCACTGCTTCTTGACTGGCAGATTTTTTGACCATTCAAATTCAGTTGTCTAAAACATGGTCTTTGCATTTTTTATCCATTTAGCAAATCATTTTATTTATTTTTGTTTATTTTTTAAAGATTTTATTTATTTGAGAGAGAGAGAAAGCAGGAACAGGGGGAGAGGCTGAGGGAGAAGCAGTTCTCCCTGCTGAGCAGCAAGCCCGAGGCGGGGCTCGATCCCAGGACCCTGAGATCATGACCTGAGCTGGAGGCAGATACTTAACCGACTGAACCACCCAAGCGCCCCAGCAAACCATTTTAGATGAAGATTCCTAGCAAGTGGATTGGTAGTGCATAACATAGGTTTAGAGAGCATAATACTTATCTTAGAGATCAATGATGTGTTTTATCAAAATTCTTCCTTAAGGTTGGCCATGCACTTATAGATTTTTAATAAAATTTGAGAGTTGGAAGAGATGTTAAGATTGTCTTGTTTAGAGAAAGGGAAGACCAGTAGAGAGTGGGTAGCATTCAAATCGTGCAGCCCTGCATTCAAGTCTGAATTCTCCTGATTCAAGGGCCATAGTCCTTGGAAAGCTAAGGGTTATGATTAAGAAAACCTGAATCATTTGGTAAGGACTTGACCATCATTTTGGTAACAATGAGCAGCTGCAGTGGAGCTGTGCCCTGTGGTGTGGACCCTTTCGTGGAAACAAGCATTTGACAAAAATTTCGTGAAAGAGATCTTTTTCACTTGATCCATGTGAATGAATATGCAGAAATGAGTTCTCAAAAAAGTGGTTGGCTATTAAAAGGGGCTCCAGCCACCCAGACTTACTTGTCTTTCATGTAGCAGGGATATGGAATTGCCTGGACCTGGACGGCTACTTCCTGGGAGTTTCTTCCAGTCTGCAATTCAATGATTGCTCTCTCAATACTATCCTGTAAGTAAACAAAAGCCCTGCCATAGATCTGGTTATGTGATGGAGAATTGTGTGGCCCCGGGGCCCAAATCTTGGTCCTTATGCTTCTTGTGGTCTGTGCAGTCTTGAGACTCATGCGGATGGTATATTTTATGACAGGAGGAAGAGATACATCTTCAGAGTCATAGCCTCTGTGCCGGCTTCTGTTAGAAGGAAGCTTAAAAATAACACCTAAAAATAAAATGGCAACAACAGCAGAAAGGTTATTTTATGGTTGACATTATTCATTGTTTGGAGGGTATACTTATGGGGCAGCCAAACAGGCAGTTGAGTTTGTAATGTGACAATAAGTTCAGGCTCCTAATTTACAGAAAAGATGGCTAATTGGAAGTGACAACTTCAGAGATTCAAAGCAGGAGTTTGAGAATATAATTACAAAGTAAGTGGCCAGATTAAATATATCACTCTAAGCCACTTACTAAAATAAAAAAAAAAACACAATAAAATGAATAATCTTGACTGATTATGGACTCAACTTCACCCTGTAACTATGTAATCCATTTCAGTCTTCATTTTAACCATGCCAACAAAATCACACATTTGTGGAAATCTTGTCAGACAATATAGTGGGTTGACTACATGAAAGGTTTTCATTTCTAAGGACATCAGAGGGAACAGTGACCCTCCCCCCGTCCAGACTACTTTCCTGAGTTCTTGATGAAAGGGGTAAGGGAAGAATTTGGCCAATTTTAGTACAAAGAGAAGCTCAAACTCTAGTAGAATAACACTTACTTCCAAAGAGTTCATTGCTTTTGTAAAGCCTTTTGGCCTCTCTCTCCATTTCATCTATGCTTTTTGCTGCCTGAATACGGTCATATAATACACAGGAGGAAATATTTACTGTCAGGGAAGATAGTGTGTTGAGCTGATCAATGATGTCAATGCTGTTTTCTAATTTCAGTCTTAGAATATCTAAAAAAGCAAAGCAAAATAGACAAAATATATATTATAATGTTGTATTGTAATGTTGTTTCTAGTAGTAATGAGACAAAATACTTTTGAGTCAGTACTTACCATTATACTAGATTATGAGTAATAGGAAGTTGTAGAATTTACTAGAATTTATTCTAAAATATCTGGTAATAAAAATATCTAGTAACACCTGGGAAAATGTGTCCAGGTGTGCAAATATTCATTGAAGGGAACTTTGAGCTAGTACCAATAAAAGAGACCCAAGTTCAAAGAGTGATACAAGCCAACTTAAAAGTATATTCTGCTACAATTTAGTTAACCAGTGACTAAAGCTGAATAATTTAAAAAAATACATCTACATATAGTCAGGAAGAAAACTAGAGATGAAAGTTTCCAATAAATGGACACACTTACTTTGTTCAGGGAATGTGAATGTAAGAATTTAAACAAAGGAAAATCTATGTAGAATGTGTAGAACAAATAAACTATATCATTCAATAAGGTGTGCTACAGAATCATTTCTTAGGAGACTGAGAATCTATGCCACAGAGTAGACAACTTTTTAAAACTGTTTGATTTAACATCTCATGTGAGTTATTTCTATTGATATCTGTGCTAATCTAGACAAAATGATCAAGATTTTATTTCAGGTCATTACTCTGGAAGAAAGAGGATTTAATTGCTCTTCAATTTCATGATTCCTTATGAGGAAGTCAACCGAGACAAAGGGTAAATATGAAATTGCAAGTTAATAAATCACTTGGCCAATTAAATTTTCACTGACTTGATCATCATGAATACCAAGAATATTGTGAGTATCATAAATCCCTCCTCACAAAACCCAAACATGACTCTTCCACAGTCCAATGTAAGACTTAATTTCTCACAGAGGGCAACTTACTAAGTGCATTTCTCATTAGAATTTAAAGTGAAATGGTTTGTTTGATATAGACCTTGATGGGGGAGGGGTAAAACTGTGGTTGTGGTAAAACAGTGGCCTCCAGCGGCCATTGGAAATCACACCACCAGGGATTCCTTAGACATGCTGGCCCGGAGGATCGAAGAAGAGCTATGAGGGTCAGTGTTCCCTCAGTTCAAACTATATAAACTCCTAGATACCAAGTTATATATACAATTATAGGAACATCAAGTCTCACTGCTACATTTATTTTAGTCTAATTTTAAATTCTAGAACTCCCCTCCTATATTTAAAGTTAGGAAGATAAAACTCATGTAAGAACTTTGTAGTATATTTCTGATATTTTGATCAAATGGTTGCTTAACCAAATGATACTTGTAGAGAATAAATCCACTATCTTTCTTTAATCAAATTCAGTCAACTATCATAAAGTGCACACAACTATATACAAGACAAATGTAAATATAATTCTTCCCTATGGGTTTACAACCCATGTCACTTCTGTCCCAGTAGCACCAGGGAGGAGGAGGGGCACTTGCTCTACTGCAGCCAAATTCAGATGCTCTCAATCCCTTCCTCATCCTTGTGGTTGCATAGCAACAGTGAATCAGACACAGACTGAATTAGATGTCTTGCATCCCTTAGGTTGAAAGTGGGGATGTGGCAGAGGGAATGCATAAGTTCAGACAGCTTCCTTTGATTCTCTTTGCCTGTTCCTTTTAAATGACCATGAGAGGAGGATCCAACCTTGAATACTGATTTAAGTTTATTTTCTTTTGAGTCTCTTCATTGTTTTGTTTTGCTTTTGCTAACTCAATAACTTCTTCCAGGTACATTCTGGGTTAGTCAAAGTGGTAACTGAGGCCCGTGGAGATAAAATGTTGAATATGGCCAGACATAAACCATTTCATCTTTCTTTGTCCTTAAGGATCTGCTTTTCATCAAGTTATCAAAAAAAAAAAAAAGTGTCCTCTTATTTCTAGCAACCTAGCAACCTACCAATGATTGTAGGAAAAGCTGCATTTACATGAAGTATGTAATTGTTGAAACTAACTGCAGATACTGGGTATCCAAACAGCTGTTACTACTTATAATTATACAACTATCTGGGGAAAAGATGGATAGATATATCCAGGATTCTACTTAGAATAACTAGCTAAAAATCAAATACAGAAGAAAACAAAAAGTTTTCAAATGCAACCATGCTTTTCCCATTTTTGACATGACTAGTGAACAAAAGTTTTGTGAATCTGGACTTACCAAGTTCATCTATCTGTTTCAATAGTTCAACAGCATCGAGTCCCACAGAGAATTTCACAAAAACTTGCACAAAGGGGTTCCTTAGAGTATTCTAACAAATAATAATAGGGAATCAGTTTCAATACAAGAAGAAAACACATCTAATCATTGTCTCTCTAATAATACCTGCAGTGAAATGAAGTAACCACCACTCCGCATTATCAATGCATCACCAAGTAGTGCTCACATACAAATCCTTGAGAAAGAAAGAGAAGGTATACAGCTGCTAATGACTAGAAAGGCTGGGTTTTTCTTATCTATAGACACAAATTGGTCAGCATGCTAAAGTAAACAGATCTGACTCCAATTATCAACAGTAAGAAACTATATTCAACATAACAGTCAGTTTACCCATGGCTATCACATCATTTGTTTTTTGATATATGCTGTGCACAATTATAGTGGTTGAATTTCATAGTTGAATTTTGTTCAACTGCAACAAACTAAAACAACTTTTAAAAATTGTGATATCTAGGGGTGCCTGGGTGGCTCAAGTCGTTAAGTGTCTGCCTTCGGCTCAGGTCATGATCCCAGGTTCCCGGGATTCGAGCCCCGCATCAGGCTCCCTGCTTGGCAGGAAGCCTGCTCTCCCTCTCCCACTCCCCCCCTGCTTGTATTCCCTCTCTCACTGTCTATCTCTCTCTGTCAAATAAATAAATAAAATCTTTAAAAAAATTGTGATGTCTACATGGAATTTCATATCACAGTTGTTTGGTACCCTACTTCTACTACTTCCTAGCTAGCTATGGGCTCTCAGCAAGCACTCGGTTTTTTCCAGCTTCATGTTACTTTTTTGTAAAGCAGGGATGAATGACTCATCTTATCAGAACAGTCAAATGTAAATTGCTATAATATCATTTTATATTGTAAAAAGCACAATTATGTGAATATAGAAAAATGAACTGATGATAAAACTTTAAATTACTCTATCCATGGAAAGACTGAAAATTTTTTAAAAAGCATAAATGCTTTGACATATAAAGACTGCTACAGCTATCTTCCAAATTAGGAGACATAGCTTCTACCACTGTAGAAGTACAACTAGGTAACACTTACTGAGATGTTACTGTGTACTGGGCACTGTCTAATACAGTTTACCTTAATTTTCTTGCACAGTTTTCCATAACACCTTGAGGTCCCCTAAGGACACAAAATTAGTAAGGGCCAAGGAGAAAGTTGAAGGCAGAGAATTCAACTTGATTAAAAAAATGTTTATCTTATGTGTTAATTCATGGGCTAGTTTTTTTTTTTTTAAAGATTTTATTTATTTATTTGACAGAGACAGAGACAGCGAGAGCAGGAACACAAGCAAGGGGAGTGGGAGAGGGAGAAACAGGCTTCCCGCCGAGGAGGGAGCCCGATGTGGGACTCGATCCCAGGACCCTGGGATCATGACCTGAGCCAAAGGCAGATGCTTAACGACTGAGCCACCCAGGCGCCCCATGGGCTAGTTTTTATGTGAGCCAGGCTTAAGTTGGTTTTCCCTTTAGAGGACAAGTCAGTACCTCTTATTATTCTGTCCTTCCTACCAAGATCTTCAGTTTTGTTATCATGGAGATACATGATTAAGAATAATATGTATTAACAGAGCACATATACAGTAGAATTAATTCGCTAAGTCCATAGGTGCTGAGGGGTCTAAGAGTAGTTGGCAGCATGTAGACCAATGGCTATGACACAGTTCATACCACGCTACCCAAGTCCTTTAAAGTCTCACTATTTACCAGGAAGTAATTTGTGCGTCAGGGAAAAACTGAATTAGAGCATTAGTAGTAAACAAAGCACTGCGTCAGTTGCAATTCAGAGATGATCCACCGAGCAGTATGGCCATTCTCCCACCACTCCTTTTGCAATCAGTCCTAGGATACGTAATACTATTTTTACATGCCTCCACACATATGATCCTCACAAATCTATGCAGTGGCTATCAAGATACTCCTTTTAGAGATTCATAAACTGTAGATCGAGTGTCTTACACCTTTTCCTAGTGGTTCACTTTGGCAAAGCCAGGTGTGATGCTAAAAGCTTTAAATTTCAAATTCTGTGTACATTTGTAGAAATAAGTTTGTCCTCAATAACTTAGAATAAGGATTTATTTTGGTCTAGAACAGAATAATGTTGCTTCCATTAGATGATGGCCCCTTTATGGACATGGTATAGATCATGTCCTTTGTTCATTCATTGCTTTTGCCAACAAAACTTTCCTTAATGAAATCATATGTGTAGGGGTTTTTTTTTCGGCTCCACAGAAAAAAAGTTTTAGGAAAAAAGAAGCAATCTTCCATTTAGGAAAATATATATGTCAATAAAATACTACTCAAATGGTCTTTGTTACATAAGATTCATCCAAAAAAAAAAAAAAAGAGGCCACTTAAAATTAGAACCAAATTTAATAGTAAATTGTGGGGAAGATGTTTGATGAAAGTTTACTTTTTTATATTAATTAAATTATTAAATATCTGTTTCAGATATGTATTTTATTATTTATAATATTATAATATAAACTTTATAAATTATTTATAATAAAAGCCAGACTGTAATTGTAACTATGCGCTAATTGTTAATCAAAACAAAGACTGAGCAAAGCATCTTTTGGGTGTAATTTTTCTGACAAAGTTGTGTGCTACAAATCCTTTATTCTATGTTCAGCTTCTTGAGCATGATTATAAGAAGGCCTTTTTGGGGAGGGGGGCAAATATATTTTAGCTCTCCATCAATCTTCCTTGGGCCTCTCTCAATACTTTGATATGCAAGCCATTCTCTCTTGAAGTTCCTGTGTCACCTTCCTTCCTGCCAGTTTTCTCTTCTCTAGCTGGTAACTGGTCTGGCTCTGCTGTTCCATCCTTAGTCGTCAACAGCTCTGTTTGTGACTGGACCATTTCCCCACATTATTTTCATCATCTTCTGAAAACCCCGCATCTTTTGCAAGAATTGCCAATTACACCTTTTAACCAGTGTGCATTGTATTTGAGTTGCATTGTCAAAACTTTAACCTAGAGTGTCATGTTTCAACCAAAGAACTCCCCAGATTTAATGTTCTTTTCCAGAATTTTACTATTATAGGAACTCTGGTTCTGTTAAAATAGCAAAAAATAATTTAAAGTGGAGGAACAAATAAAATACACATATTTTGTTTTTACCCCATTTTATTTTTGGAAAACAAGATTGACGTCACTATTTATGCCTCAAATTCAACCTGTAAGATGGCTTATCTCCAAATTACAGAGAGAGGATGCACCACGGGAGATGAGGATGATTCTGAATGTGAGTGACAGATCTGTTATCCTGTCTTAGACTTTCTCTGTAGAGGACAGGCAATTTAAAATGTTGAATATGGATTCTGAGTTACTATCTGCCCATTCCCACAGTGAAGTGATTAAAATCTCAAAGAATTATAATGCCTATGAAAGAGAACGAGCCGTCTCCTACCTGGAGCATGGGAATCGTCTGGTTTAACAGGTGGAAAGAATTCATGAAAAGTGGTGAGTTATCCATCCACTCTTGAGATTTCTCCCTTAGTTCTGCCAGCTGCCTCAGAGTTACATTAGCCTAAAAGACAAAGAAACAAAAATAGATCTGGGCCATTATTATTTTTCCTATATTTCAAAAAGGGATCTTATGGTTGTTTTGTTACGTAGCTTTAAGAAACAGTTCTAAAAGGTGGAGTTAGTAAAAAAATAGTGTCAGAAATTTCCCACATGGTCAGAAGTTTTTAAATGGCAGCTTTTAATAGGGTCAAGATCACTTTTAAAAATTCTGGAAAGAGTAGGGTTTGCTTTGCTGTCCACAGTGAATTTACAGTCAAAATGAAGATACACCTTCTGGAGTTCCCAGAAGTTATTCACTTTTTCCAATAATACATTTAACTTTACTACTACAGAAACACCGTAGTTCAAGAATATGGGAAGCATGCTTTCATATACTGCTGGTGGAAATGGATGTGTTACAGCCTTAAATAAAATACATTATTCCTCGATCCCTCAATCCTGAACAATCATCTCATTGAAATAAAAATACCACCGTATAAATAGTATGCATGAGAGTATTTGTTGTCACATTATTTACTTTAGCAAAAAAATAAAAAGGAAACACTGGAAACAAAATGAATGCCCAACAATTGAGGATTGGCTGAGTAAATTCTATGGTATGAAAAAGTTTGCAATTTTCAAAAAGAATGAATTAAACTATACCAATTGAGTTGGAAGAATTTCCACAAGGTATTGTTGTGTGAGTAAAGCAATACGTAGAAAAGCATTATAATGTAACCTCATTTTAATAATGCAAACAATGACAAAAAATTCTGCATATGAATGTATGTATAGCATAATAACCTATAAAGAATTAGAGAAATGTGTATAAATTATGGGAAAAACACATCCTTGAATGCTAAAAATCATTAGTTACATAAAAGAAAAAGATCAAGGGGAGAGAAAAAGAGAACCAAAAAAAAGGAAAGACAAAAAATGACTGCTCTTAGGAAATAAGCAGGTAATGACTTCATTTATGCAAAAATTATACAGAAGTGTAGCCAATAAAGCAAATAAGATATTAAAATGCAAACAATAGAAACAAAGAACATTCTAGAAACCAGTGATGAACTCATATCCATTTTTATATAGACCTAAAATAATGTTATATTCACCAAAACTGTGGTGTAATGACCAAGTAATGGTAAAACACAGTGATTTCTTTTCTTTTTTTTTTTTTTTACTTTCACACTGTCATTTTAAAAGTAGCAAGTTAATAATTCAAATCATTAAAGCTAACTTTAAAAGTTGGAGAGAAATGTAATTATGATTAAATTAGGTAGATATTAAGTATAGTTACTATGAATAATGTTGTCTTTCTCAACCTCTATCTCTTACATAAACATAACATGTTGAATTGTACAATCTAATACGAAGCCAATTTATAATTTAGAGATTTTTTTTTAATATTTTATTTATTTATTTGACAGATAGAGAGAGACAGCAAGAGAGGGAACACAAGCAGGAGGAGTGGGAGAGGGAGAAGCAGGCTTCCCGCAGAGCAGGGAGCCTGAAGCGGGGCTCAATCCCAGGACCCTGCGATCATGACCTGAGCCAAAGGCAGACGCTTAACGACTGAGTCACCCAGGTGCCCCAGGATTGTTTTTGTTCAAACTAGTTATATAATGCCCCAATATTATTTTTTCTAGTGCCATTATTTTTATACACTTTGAAAATTAGATACCAGTTATAGAAAAATCTTCTGCTTTTGGAGATAAGCTGAAAAATCTGAGGTCTTGTTTCAACTAACCTCATTCTCAAGTGTCAACATGGTTCATGTCTCTTCAAAGGGCTACCAACCAATCTACATTGTTTACACATTTACAGGGCAGAATTTGAGAATTAAGAGTTTCAGAAAGCTCAGGGTAATAGTAGGTAAGATATAAAGAAAGCTGAGTCAGCTATAGTAAATTTGGAAGTTGATTACTTTAAAAATCATCTTAGGACTCTAGATAGAAACTTTGAGTTATAATGGTCAAACCTTTTCCATTATTGCCTTTGTGACAGGGGTATATGGTGCATACAAAATTCTTCCCAATAACATAGGTTTCAAGAAAGCCCAAATCACAGGTCCAGCAGGCATATTAATGATGTCTTTATAAAGGGAGAAGCAAAATGGTGCTGGAAGGAAAAAGTGAATAAAACCATTTAGTATGTATATCTAAAATTTATTTCCTTATGGTAAATTTACACAGATTATTGTTATCACACCCAAAGATACATGCCTTATACTTCCCTTATTATTAACAGTTGTGAGGCCTCTGCTATCAAAGTAAGAAAAAAAAAACAAAAAACGAAATCTTGCCATTTGCAACGATGAGGATGGAACTAGAGGGTATTATGCTAAGCGAAATAAGTTAATCAGAGAAAGACATGTATCATATGATCTCACTGATATGAGGAATTCTTAATCTCAGGAAATAAACAGGGTTGCTGGAGTGGTGGGG